GAAAATTTGGAATTTTCCATCAATCTTCTGAGAATTTTCTGGAAATTTTCCGGGTCAGAAGATTTCTAATTTTCTGCCACAGAAAATTTTCAGAAAATGTCAAACTCGGATCTGTGATCCGGCTGATTGCATCTTTCCAGTACACTAATTAGGCATCATGCGGCAGTGCCCGGATTTTAGTAATAATAATAATAATAATACGGCAAACAATATTCAGTTAGTCTCACCTTGACAAGTATAATACACAACATTACTATTCATACCTGCCCACCCTACATGGCGGGCCTCTTCTCCCACAATTTCACTCACAGCCGCCTCGCCATGCTATCTTCTGATGTTGATAAGAACAATATGCCCGCATCCAGTCCCGCATTCAGCAGCTGGCTAGAATCAAAAGTTAGCGCTGTTTTCCCACTGGAGAATTAGCTTCTGCACTGCAAAACACTCTGACTTCAAGTCAGTGTCAATGTTGTCAAATCTCTGGCCAAAGAACACAAAACATGCACCCAAACCGATATCATCCCTAATCCTAACTACTTATTGCCTCCCCAAAACTCTTGGCAAGACAGACCCCCCCATCAACTAAGTTGTAGACTTGAGATCAACCCAACTCTGTTGTCAGCAACACGAGCATTGGGAACAAATCATGACAAACCTCAAGCAAGGCGAACAGGGCCGAGCAATGGGCAGTGCCGCACGGATTGCGTGAAATGGCTGAGGCACAGGCGGCCAGTGCCAGAATAAAAGAGGAGCTCGGGACGACTCGGACTGTCGCCAACTGTTGGTCATTTGGGCCGGGATCGTGGCTTGCGGCGGCCTGGCGCGCAGCGGGAAGGCTGTACCTGCGGTGGGTCAAGCATTTACGCTTGCATCTCCTTCATCAGCAGCATTCTCCTCGCTGAACAAGCTGGGTATAGTGGTTGTACTCTCAGACTTGCTAATCGTTGGCGCAGTCTCGCTGACACTGACGCTCGTGGCCCGCACTGACTTCAGAAGGCGCTTTATCGCTCTCATCATCAGTCTCGGCGAACGAAACAAGGCCTCTCAAAATTAACCCCTCCTTCCCAGTTGTATCCCCATCAGATGTCGTTAAGCCAGCGAGTCCATGGCCCCCCCGAACTTTGCGCTCAACCTCCACCTTTTCGAAACCAAGCAGAGTGCTGTTCCTGCAAGTCTGTTCAAGCAGACTGAGAAGAGCCTTCCAACCCTCCCCATCAATCTGTTCGCGTGCCCAGTCCGCGACGGCCGCTTTGTCCTTGTCGAGGGCTTCCTGTAGACCTTGGGCGTGATCGACAACATCATGTTCAACGTATACAGTCTGCACGTGAACTGAGCCGCTTTGATGCTTCCTGGATGCGCTAGGGAGATATGCCACGCTGACAAGCTTGCCGCCAAAACAGAGCAATGGAACCACTTGGGTGGCTGGGAAAGAGAAAAGGTACCAGCATGGTCAGTTCCTCCAGGTCGAGCCACTCCCGACCATGACTTCCTTCTGCTTGCCGTCGCTGGCAGGCGCAATAGCGCTGCTGCCAGCGCATCTGCAAAAGGGTAAGTCCTGCCATCTCTATCTCTTGTCTTCCTTACCACTGTTGACAGTCCATGCGGCCTCGTTTAAATTTCTTGTCGGCCTATGCTGGGGAAAAGTTCGTCTTCGTCGTTGCCCAGTTCATTCCTTGCTCACCTTCTTCCAATTCAGTTTGTCGTCGTGCTAGGTATCACGGGCGGGATGCTTGTTGCTGTTCTGAGGTGAGTGCGGTACAGTAAGCTGCATTGGTGGACTCACATTGCATTGGTGCGCGTGTCTGGCAATTACTGCCCGCTAACGGTGCAGGTGAGTCGTTTGGTGATTCTCCTCCTTTGCAAGCGCTCACTCTAGCAATCGAAGTTCTGCGAGTTCCCGCTTGCCCTCCCGCTCGACGCCAAATCGTTGCGGGCTGTCGCCAACCTCAAAGGACAAGGTGAGTTTGACGCTATATCCATTGTCTTATCGACTTACCGCGTTTTAGAACCGTGCACTGGCATCAGTGCTCTAAATCCATCTCCATCGTAAGGTATCTTCTTGTTGTCAATGTACTTGTTGACAGACTTCCTCCCTGGGGCCCAACCTTATTGCAATCGTCTCCTGGGTTGGCGCCGCCCTCGACTCGTGTGCAAGCCATCAGCCCTCGATTCCGGTGTCGCGGAGCTGTTTTTGCTGATATTCCGTCCTCAGTGTCCAGAATGCTAACAAACAGCATAGTTAGCGTCATATTTTGAAGCCTCTGATTTCTGACGGTAAGCTCACTCAATAAAAAGGTCCTGCTGGTGATATAGGAGAAGGCGCTGACAGCGTGGATGGACTCGTTGTTGCCCATATCCGTATTTTGCGCCGCTTTGACTTCGAGTTAGTGTGTATTATAATATGGGACTCAACTCACTGGATGTGTTGCTCAAGAAAGCAAACTGGGAGACAGTGCTACTCGGAGACTATCTTTCCCATTCTGCGCTACGACGACCAAATACGAATTTCCCAAGTCTGGCAAGCCCTCCCCATGACCACTTCCCATCGGAATGAATGCTTGGTTCGTGAAAGGGTGCCGCTCCAGGACACTCAGGACGGTCATGCCGTCTTGAGAAATATCCTTCAAGGGATTGCAACGATATACCGACAAGCCCGCAGTTGCATTCACGTCAATTGGCTGGCTTGTCCGGGTTTGATGAGACTGATGAGTCTGCTAGACGTGTCGTTTAGAGGGTTGGTGAGCGGCTGCCAGTGATGACTTTGGAGGCATATTGTGATAATGTAGAATGAGTCTTTTGAGGACTGGAGACCATAGTTAGGGTAGACTTGGGCTAGCAAAATCTCGGATCGCGACATTGCAGGACTGAGATAATATCAGCCACAACGTGACGAGTAGCCAACAGCACAGTGCTGCTCATTGACGACAACGCGAAACCGGATGGCGGTTGGTGTTCACGTCGGGTTTTGTGGTGGCTGGGGACAGAACTGACCACCATAAAGCAGGTGTTGCCCGTGACTTCAATCCCGCCCGGCAATGATGACCGGCGGTGTCAAATCATGAACATCCGCGAGTCCAAGGTCAGCGCACGACTGAAAACTCTCACTTTCTCGGATCGAAACAACGCAAGACCGAGAAAAATCCGTGTTGTGGATGACCGGGGCATAACGAGAGCGCGAATTGCAGGGGTGCGCCTGGGAGGTGGATGGCCGGCAGAGATTGGCCGAGCCAGTGAATGTGCCGTTGGAGTAACGAGAGCGCGGATTGGAGTCGGGGTTTCAGTGAACCGGAAGGGGAAGGTGAGTGAATGTCAGCAGTGCTGGTCATTGACAGCGCGAAAGCGAATGGCGATAATGAAGACCGGCAGTGAGGTGTTATGACATTGTCCATGGCGGCAGTAGATGGGCAAGGCAGCGCTATTGCGTTGCGCCGCGCGAAACAAGTCACGTTTTGTGGTGGGTGGTTGTGCCGAGTGGGATTGAATCGCGGCGCCGAGGCGGCGACATCACGAAAGTCGGTTAACGTGACCTGCATATGTACAGTTGCAGCAGGCAATAGGTAACGGGTGGTGGAGTCAAGATGAGGGTGTGGCGGGGCAATGAAGGCGCGTGAAATAGCACCAGTGCTGGAGATAGCACATAGGGACTAAGCCACAGGTTGCAAGGTTACGGGCGTCTTTGGAGGCAGATGGTGTCGGATTTGCCTCTTGCCAGGCACGATAACGACTGATATTGGCCCGCCGGAAGGCAGATTGGCCGTGTTGTTGACTGAGTTCACAGACCAACGGTGTGACGGGCGCGGAGAAGGAAAGGAACGGAGGGTGACAGTGATGGTCGCACAAGTGATAGCAAGAGTGTGCCGGCAGCAAACAGCTGCCAACATTCACTTTGCTAGGCCAACCGGTTGTTGGCCTCCGGCGGCAAAACCCCACAAAATTTGAGCCGATTTAACGCGTTTTGTGAGCGCAGAATAGCTCCCCAAAATCATCGGGAAATTCGGATCATTGATCGAATCGACGTCCGACAGCTCGGCACTGGGTCCCGGCGCACGGCGCCATGATTTCCAAGTAATGTTCAGTTCATCGACAATGTGGTATTTTGGAATCATACCTGGCTGCAAATGGCAGCAGCCGCAACATTGAGTCCAGGCGGTTATGTGTTGCCTCCGGCGGCAAAATATCTGACAAAAGTGAGTTATTTCAAGTCGAAATGATGACAGGAAAATCGCTGACGTAATCACATACTTCCGTCTAATTTGCTGCTAAAAACCCAAATAAGGCCCCAAAAAGTCCTGTATGAGTTGTAAGGGAGTGTGTTAGAGAAGCAATCAACACACAGAGTTAGCCACTGGGGTGCAGCGCGGCCGCAAGCTGAACGTGCTTGGCACCGGCAATGATGATGATGAGCGGGTCATTCGACAGGCGCGCATATGGGCTTCAAGTATCTCGACGCGCTGTCGCGCGCTGCAGGCGCAAAGACTTGAGTGAGTAACATTCTGAAAGTCTCCGTCAACAATAGGCTTAACATGAATAGAATCAACTCACTAAAGCGCACTAGCATCACAAAAGTGCAAAAGCACGCGATGTTCCAGCACGGCAGCACCCGCCTGAGGCCTAGACTTGATGACCTTGGAGACGGCGAGGAATCTGGAGGAAGACAATGAGAACTTGATGCATGAGGGAGAAAAACAAAGACATGCCATGTCAGCACCATGGGGGGCTCACGATATGCAGCGTGTGGTTTGAGCGCGAAGACAAGTTCGAGTTGTTGACAGTTGCGTGACTCTAATGTGCACGGTTGGCCAAGCGGCGCGCAATTTGTGAGCGGGGATGTAGCCAGAGTCTACAAGCCATAAATCAGTACAGAAACAGGGCGCAGAAAGCACCACTGACCTGACTACAACATTTCAAGTTGGGGGCAGAGGCACGGACAGAGTCCCGCTTGTTGCCAGGCGGCCCGGAGACGAGCTTCGGCCTCGAATTTGCTGCTCCATTAGTGCCATTTATACTAGGATTGGTGGCGCTGCTGATAGCATTCGCGGCAAGTGAGTTCCAGCGTAAACGTGCTGCAAGAGAATTTCGATTGGGATTCGGGGCGGGCGATGATGTAGAGTTTGTGGTCGTGGTACAGACGCCGCATTAGGTATTGTAGCTGGTGACTTCGCTGAATTGAAGTTTGTTGCGTTCACAGCGGGCGAAGTTGGCTGGGGGACACGTAGCTCGGCAATAACAATTTCGAGCATCGCACTTGGTTTACCGACATTCTTGAGCTCAGCCAACTTCTGATGCAAAAATCGCGCATCTGTAAGGAGGCTGTCAAGGCACAAATTTGTCAAAAATCGCTCATTATCGAAGGCCGGGAAAAGACGCACCCCTGGCGTGCCTCTTCGTTGGGCAAAACTACTTTTTGCGTACTCTTCCAAAAGGCGGTGGTTGATCGCGGCGAATACCTGTACCATCACGTCCTATACCGCGCTATCAACATCGGCGTAAAGACCGCAGCATCATTCTTACCTCTACAACGGCGGCGGAGAGATGGCGCGACAGCACTTTGTGAAGGGTCACCGTCTCTCGCACCAACACTGTCATGTAAGAGTTGACACCCTCCCGTGGCGTAGACTAATCAATAGACTAACGTTTTCGATAAGCGCTTGGACCGTTTTCATAACACCAACTTGTCATACCTGGAAAGTACGAATATGGGCGTTGAGACGGTCGCCCATGATCGCAATCAACTTTGCGTGAATCTCGTTCTGATGCTCCTGATAATCCTGCTGTACAAAAATTGTGTTAGAAGGACGAAGGACAAGAGAGAGGAATGGAAGAGAACACACGTGTTTGAGTTTGTCAAATTCTACTAGCATAACAGCCTGCTTCTGGCTAAGGTGCCGTCGAAAAGTCTCTCGAACGTAGGGAATGAGGGCTATCATAATGGACAGGGATTGAGATGCAAGTGCTGTGGAAAAAAGGTTTATTATTATTGAGCCAACACAAAAGTCTCGGGCACATACCGAGATGCTTCGCAGTGATATTTTTGAGACCGGCAGATCGCATTGCCCCTGCACCCAAGACAACCTGGCACGTACGAGAGTTGAAAGCCTTGAGGAATTCAATCACACGGCTCATGGTGTCTGTTGTCAACATTGACGATAACGCGCAAATCGTCGAGTAGCAACGAGAGAACCTCAGTCGTCGCGGCTACTGCTCGACTCGGATCCGCAAACGAATCTTTGCGGCTTTAGCCGTGGATGATGAGCCATTGGCCTTCTTTGAGGGCGGCGGAGCAGATGGAGATGAAGGGGGAATGCCATTGGAAGAGTTCTCAGGGGCTAGACTGTCCATGGTCGATTGCGAAGGCATGGTAGCAGACACCAACAGTTCGGGCACATCTTTTACAGCGCATTCAACCAGAACATCAGTAATATGCTGAACTGGCTGTGTCGCGTCGACTTGCTCCCATTGCTCGTTTTCCACAAGACTGGCTGATTGGGTCAATCGAGCCTGATGGAAAGTTTGTAGGAACGTCTTTGACTGCGCCATGTTAGGAAATGCGATTAAAAACATGGCTGAAACGAACCTGGCTGATTACCATGCCTCATAGGCCCACGATCATCTGCCTGCATATCACTTCACACTTGACGACGAATGACCACGAGTCATTGAAGAAGACAAAAAACTTGGAGAGGCTGAGAATCGCATGCTGCTCGGCGCGAATAATAATTAATTTGGTGGCTTGCGTGTTGGAGAGCTCAGCAGCAGAGCTGAGAATGTCCGTAAGTTCTTCTTGAAGAGCGGCAGTATTCTGGAAGCTGGAATGCGGTCAAAGATGTGGCGCTTGGCTCAATTGACCTGTCACATACCTCGTCGTCTCAAGAACCTGAACAAAGGCCGCACATTGGGCTTGAAGCCCTTCTACGGCATTGAGGAAGCTCTTGTAGACAGATTGTATGAGCACCAAAAATTCGGCATGTGGCATGTTTTGGAGGTGGTTGGCCAGTCCCGGCCTGCGAGCATTAATTAAAGGAGCAGGGAGTAATAATTACTACCTCAAAGTGTCTCCGCCAGCTGTTGTTTGTTCTTCCGTTAGATCTACCCCCGGTAAATGCTACCGTATACGGAATGAGCAAAGGTTTTCTTCATCTGGCTTCAAAACATTACTCACTGTTGCCACAACCCCACGAATTTCGTCTAGCGCAATCTCTCTCCATGACAGTGTTGCTTCGCGAATGCCGTTTGTCCGTATCAAGCCTTGTAAGAGAGGTCGCAAACGATCTGTAAAGCCTTCGTGCAACTTCTTGGATGGAGTCCCAGAGCTGATACATTCCAAAATATCACCTCGAAGCACGGAAACGAGCTCCGTTGATAAAGAAGACGTTATTTCCAACGTTAATGTCCGAAGATGTTCTGTCAGAGCTGCAAAAGCAGTTAACGATGATAAGGGTATTGGCGGAGGAACGGAAGGCGAAGGGGCTGGCTGCTCTTCTGGTGTCGGTGGCAGAGCTGGCAGCCTCCGGTTGATGCTACCTTCAGCAGTTGCCACAGGAGAGGTCACCACACTAGAAGGCTGGGGTTCTGAAGTACCGTCCCATAAATGTTCCATCTCCATTAACACCGTCAGTGCTTGGTCCCATTGGCCAGCCGCGACTAAACCCTTGGCAACACTCGTCATTTCCCCACCACCCCACCCACAAAAGTAACGCCCTCGCGTACTTTTCCCAAATTCCGCAACCGACCACCCCATCACACCAGACCCTTCTTTGCGCTTTTATCGTCCACCTCCTTGAGTAAGGCACGAAGTTTGGAAATGCGGTCTAAGCATTGCTCGGATTCACTTTGCAACTCGTGGAGATTCGTGAGAGCAGCAAAAAACGATGCAGACCGAATAGAGATTTCTCGGACTAGGTGTTGCTCAACCGTATCGGCATAATGCGAGAATTTCTCGAGGAGTGGTAGAGAATAAGAAATCGAAGCGGGGTCATGCTCAGCAGAATTTTCTTCCGTTACAGTTTTGAATGTGCGCAGGTCGCCGAGGTTGAAGTTTCGCTGGAAGAAGACAGATGGGACAATGTCCAATGGTGGCAATGGGCGGCCTGACGCTTGCGTAAATGGGCCGTTTGTCGGCTTTGGTGTTGAACCCCCTTCCAGTTGTAGCTCGGCTTCACGACTAAGCTGGTGACTATGCTCGAGCCTTTCCCACTCTGGAGCAATTGCTCCAGGTATTAGCTTAGGTAATCTTAAGATACTTTTGGCCTAGTCACCCTTTATCTTAAGTTTACTTATACCTTAAGTTGAAATAAAATACCTGGTATGGGTCACGAGTATGAAAGATTATGTAATTTCTTTATAAAACATAACTTAAGTTCATGTCTTAATTTATTGAAGCTGAAGGGTAAGATCTTAAGATATTAGCCTTGTAGAATTAAGTTACAAGTCTTATGTACAAACAAACCTTAAGATTTATTGCAATACAGAGTGCTGGAAATCAATTATCTAACTAGGGAACTGAAGCTAAACTAGGGAACTGAAGCTAAACTAGGGAACTGAAGCTAACTAAAGCTAAATGAAGCTAAATGAAGCTAAATGAATGAAGCTAAATGAAGCTAAATAAACTTGAAGTCAACATATTGAAATATGTTATATAGGATGTAATGGAAGCTAAACACAAGCCCCATGACACTCCATACATGAGCTTGAACATCTAGTGGATTATAGTAAACCTATATAGTGAATTGAAGCTAAGTTGGCAGTCTAGGAGCATAGCTGAAGCTAATTTGATAGAGCCAACTATGATTTACAAATTTTTGTATATAATGGCACATGTAAAATGGTCCTTATTTGAGTTGAGTCAAATTGAAATCCTACAATAGTACCTTTAAGGTAAAGATATGGAGCCAAATGAAGCTAACCCTGATATTCATGGAAATTATCTGATGATACAATTTAAGGCCAACTGAAGCTAAACTCAATAAGTGATAATCATGCTGAAGGTTTATATCTACAGAAGAAAACTTAAGTTGAAGATTTGGTGATCTTTTGGGGCATCAAGTTTATATACTTAAGGCTCAGGTCTTAAGAGTCTTTTAAGTTACAAACCTTGAGATTTATAGTGGGCTATTTGATTGAAAACTTAAGTTCCAAAAGCTTAAGCTGTGTACTAAAGGCTATACTTAAGTATTAGATTTTAAGATCATGTTATATAATCATACATATAGATCTACTTAACCAGTGAGAGGTCCTAGTAATATTTCCAATATCTTAAGATTGAGCTAGGCTTAAGAAATAGTTTGACTAGGCCATGGAAAACTTAAGTTATGCTCAGCTAGTTTATGATTGCTCGGAGGTAAGAGTCGAAGTCCTTCCTTCGTACACGAGGAAGTTCGGCGGGCGCAACAGCCGGAAGAGAAGAATGGGCTTTCGGAGGGGCCTGTTTCTTGTGTGGGTTGTTCAATACCATTGATATGGCTTGAAACTTGGTGAGTGTCAGAGTTACCATGAAAGCAAGATGCCGCACCATGAAATCCATGGGTTGTACTGCTCCATTGTTGAGGAAGAGAGCTTAGGCCAAGATTGGCGGTAGAAGTGTTAAATAGATTGAGACGCGACGGGCCAGCGAAGTAATATTAAGTGATGTTCGCACCACTGGACGCACGGCCATATCCCTCCTCGCAGCACCTATGACCTCCACCTGCCCCCACGCGTGCGATGTCGTGATGCTTCTGCTCGCCGGCAGTGTCCCGCGGAGCTGCTCGCCCACGCCATGGAGGAGTTCGTGGCGGGCGGCTTTCGAGACGAGCGAAGGAGAGTGGTTAGCACCGGCGCCAAGTAACGTGACAGCTGATGATATGTAGCTGATCGTTAGGGAAGAAGACGTGAAGAGCGCTGGTAAATGGCTTGGGGCTGGGGGATGAAAACGGCGCCAGATCTCGATGGTTGTGCTGGCCGTCCCGCTCGCTCAGACCTTGCCAGGGTCCGCCGTCCGCCCGGTTGCCCGGTTGCCCGGTGTCGGCCGGAGTCCCTACTTCCTTATATAATCAGTGTTCCAAGACAGTGTAACACTGTCACATAAATGCCGCCGCGAACAGCTTGTGATAAGACAGGCCTGCAAAGCAAGTTGAGTTTTGACACTTTGGTGCCCTACGCGCGAGGTGAATCATTGCTGCAGCGGTACAGTTTCAAGTTGCTCATCTACTCACTATCTGTGCAGACTCGGCCCCCGCTAGTGGTGCGTGCGGCCTGGTGATTTCGGGCAGGGTTCTCAGACTAGTCAGTCCAAAGTCAGTCCGCTAACGCTGACTGGCAAAGAACGAGACGACTCACAATACTTCCAGAATCCAGAGTCAACCTCACGGTCGTCTTCTTCGATGGGTGCCGCGCGAGCCGTGCCGGGGCCCGGAAGAGCAAGAGAGAATTGAGTTTTCAAATTTGTGCGTGTGCATTGTTCAAGGGTCTGCGGCTGACGGGACTGTCGTGCCAGCCTGAGTGCGCCGTTGTAGTTTGATCCTGGCGGGCTCAACGGCTTGCATTTCCTTGGGCGCATCGCTAACACGCGCTCGAGTTTGACGGCGCCGCCACTCAGTGGGTGAACAAGATTGACCACATGAGACAAGGCTAGTACATGCTGTCACATCGCTCTCTCTTTTTCGATCACAGTCTCCTAGGTCGCAACTCTTGCGACTCGCAAGTGCCGCTTTTACTCGAGTCAAAGTCGGCCGAGCAATTGATACTGCTTCTCGGAATGCCTAAACCTTGCCGCCTGAACTCGACAGCACTTGTTGGCTCAAACTCAGCCCCTGCGAATCAAGAAACGGTCAACGCCAAGACCCGGGCCCTAACTGCTGGTGGACGCCGGCCAGGCCAGCACAAACCTAAGGTATGTTATTATTTTGCGGCTTTTCCAATTTTGATGAGGACACTCACCATTCACTCAGCTTGCGAATGTTGCCCAGCTCCCTCAATGGCCAGCAAAAGCTCACAAAGCATGGGTCACACCCGGCCGGCTTGGCCTTTACGCGCAACTCAAGACTACCGCCTGCCGCGCCGCTTCCAAGTCTCTGCAGCACAAGTGTTTTCAGGGCAATTGTTAACTCGGCGGTATGTTATGCTGTCGTTTTGAAGGAAACTCATCCTTAATTTCAAAGCATTGCCCAGCGTTACCTTCGTCAAAACCAGCGGCCACGCAAATGGCAAAGCCTCAGCCACGACCGGTTGTCTTTGCCTTCCTCCGCGCATGCAACTCGCAACTGAACGACTAGATACGGACTACTCGGACGGCACAAGCCCCGGCCCGCAATATCCCAAAGCAACATATTGTGCCGAAGGCAATAAGAGATTGGTTTGGCTGCGAAGGTGAGGCTAACACGTAGTTTCCGACAAGTCAGCTGACTAACTCAGAGGTTTGGCAGCAGCTGCCGGGGCCGATTTGAGCATGGAGACGGGCCTGGGCATACTCGATTCTTTTTTAGTTTGACGATACAACCAGCCCGCAAACTGTTCGGTTCAAGTTGTACAGAACCACGCGGTCGTCGAGTCGCCCCTTCGCTGCTCGGAAGGCGTGCTATCCGCATTACAACGAAACCCCGCGAATCCGAGCTGTAAACAAGCCCACATCCATCTTGCTGCACAAATCAACTCACCGAAAATCAGCATCCACTCATCCTATTGCGCTAGGCCAATTTGGCTCGCACTGGCAGCTCGTGCATTATGTTATGTTCCTTCGTCGAACACAAAACAGCGCCATCACGGTGGGCATTGGATGCAGGCTGAATTTGCGCTACTACGACTCGAGCGTTGCACTTCCCCTGCCACGCGTCCAATTCTGCTTTTGTTGGCACCCAGTTCGCTGCGGCGGTCCCTCGATACTCGATCGCGCTGTTCCCGGGGTATTTGCTGAGCTGGAAGAATGACCCGCAGTCGGCGCTAGCGGGTGTGGGCGGATAGATGGAGCGGCAGCAGCGAGAGAAGCAGGAAATTGAGGCGGAGGAGGCGGGAGGCCGCGGGTGATGTGGACAGCGGAGGAGAAGAAGAGATGAGGGCGGCGAGAGGAAGTGGGCAGGCGAGTGGGGATGGAGAATTAGCCGTGAATAAAAAGGAGGACTTGGAGGAGAGTGGACAGACTTTGCCGGGGATGGGTCCAAGAAATCGTTACAGGTTGGGGAGTTGGGACGGAAAAGCCAAGATTTGCATTTATTGAAGTACAAATATGGCGTCCAAATGCTGTGTATGGGGGGCGCTATTGTGAAATGCGGGTCAATGCAATGTGATTGCGACAAATGGAGGATTGGAGTTAATTAAGTATGCCGACTGATTGCCTTGATAGCTAACTTGTATGCCAGAAAAATGTTATCAGCTGGATCACAGATCCAAGGGCTATATTTTCTGCAAAATTTCTGTGACAGAAGATTAGAAATCTTCTAACCCGGAAAATTTCCAGAAGATTCTCAGAAGATTGATGGAAAATTTCAAATTTTCTGTGCATTTTCTGGGGCAGAAAATACATTAATGTCCGTAGTGAGAACAGTCAACTCCTTCAACCTTGGGGCGGGTCCGTCGAATCGAGAGAGCAGTTCGGCAGGCAATTCCAAGCAGAGAGATTTCCATCGCATTCGGACGGCGCAAATTGCGTTTATTGCATCAATGAAGTGGTCGTGAATTGGAACGAGAGGCCGAGGG